ACTCTTTTTCTCTATATCAGTTATTTCTTGAGTTGTACCAACAGATTCAATTATATTTAGGTTTATATCAGAAAGATTATTTAATATAATGGCAGACATTTCAGTGAGTAGTGTATTGCTCAAAGTTATATCACTGAAGTGTGAAGTTAGTAGATTTTTGCGTAGCAGTTCATAATACTCATGATAAAATAAATCACTATTGCCTGTAAATTTTTCTATAATCGGTTTTAATTTTTGCCAAAGATGTTCAGCATCATCTATTGAATAACTAAATTGCTCGCATGAGAAATTTTTTTTAATATCAATGGTAGGCACATGTCCATTTCCAATAAACTAGCGCATTCTTCAACTATGCTTTTCAGCTTTAGCGGTGACAATTTATTAGAAGAATTCTCTGTATCAGACATTTTTAAAGAACATTTTTCAAAACATTCTAAAATATGCTTCGATGCAATGTGTCTTTATAAACCTCTAATTGTTTTGTATAGTTTAGGACACTGAACACTGTGCATGCATGTTGTTTGACATTATCTCTATGAATTTCGATATCAGAAACAACGGAATCTATATCTGTAAGTCATCATTCAAAAATCCTCCTTCAACCACGTCAAACAAACATTCCAAATCACTATTTGTCTCAAAATCGCTGATAAAACTTGCCATTATTATAAACTTGTGCAGGTTCGCCGGGTCGTCGTGTAGTTTTCAAGTTAAAATCGGAAAACAATGGAAATGGTCCGTGTTTCCAGACTATGTATTCTTATGACTATGTAATAATAAATAACACTGCCGAGTAAATGCAATTTAATTTGTTTAGATTGATATTCAAAAAGAGATAAATGTAAAAATATAAAAACAAAAGTAAATACAGCAAAAGTAAATAAATGATAAGGTTGAGATACAATTTCTTTGCGACAGGAATTTAAAATTTTTCGGACCACTTGAAAAAGGTTTTAACTTTACATTCGTTTTTCTATAGTAAGGGCTAGTTTTATATGCACCTTTTTATTCTTAATTACAAATCAGTGTGCTAGAAGGTTTAATAACACAACTGTATAGTAAACGGCAAATATCTTATAATGACTAACCTTCTCATTAGCATTTAATTTACAAATGATGTATGAGCTAATAGCTAAGCTCTGTGAGTAAACACAACTTTTCTGGTAGTATAGTATAACATTTAAAAATTAAATATGTATAAACATACGCAAACACACATATATATAGTACACATATGTATAAGCATACGCAAGCACACAGATATATAATTTTTTAGCTACTTCCATGTTATATATCTCCATATATTATAAGTACAGTATCAATTGATGTTAAAAATGATAGCTGATTTACGTATGGAACACTTTTTTGTTTTATGTTTATTGTTATTTTTATTGGGTCTTGAGCTCATCAATAAATTTATTTGATTAGGTGTCGTCAATAAATTAGGTCGCGCTATAGGGGCGGGGGGTAGAGGTGTAGGCAATTTTGTGACAGTTTGTTCCGAGGGGGAGGCTAGGTTTGATTTTGTGACGCAAAACTTTTTATTTTTTTTAGTTTTAAATCTAGAGAAGACTTTCTTTTAATAATAGAATATTTGACCTCAGTCCCAAACCCTCAGTTGGTGTATCTGCATGTTGATTTTAAAATCACCTAAATCTTACTTAGTCGATGTATACACTCCGTTAACGGAGTAGTTACATCCTGTTAACGGACTGTTACGGCTGTAACAGTCTATGTGCTGTGCATGTTCTTCGTTTTGATTATATATAGTCCAAGGCAGAACTTTATTTGTATGGCGCACAAAAGTGTGCAGCAACAAAAAAACAAATCTTTGTTTACTAACTAAAAAAATAATTTCAATACCGAGAGGTGAACCTGGAACCTTTGGGTTGTTTGGCTGAAGCAGAACCCACTCGGCCACATTAACATTGCAATATTGTATTTATGTAGAAAATTGTATTTATAAATAATATTATAATATAATATAATATAATATATAAATAAGATAATTAAAGGTTATATATATATAATATTTTACATGAATTATATATCGGAAGAATAGGTTTTTAAAATTAGTATCATGTTCCGGATAGCGATGTTAATTAATACAATTTTAAACGGAACTATTGGGATGAAAAAAAACATTAAACAGAATGAAAAGTACTGATTAGTTAACTCAAAGAAGCTCAGAAAGTTATAGACATTATTATATTTAAAATCGTTTTGCGTTTTACAAAATTCTGTACTCCTTCCCCCTAAAAAAATTTTAATAGTGGGAGGAGGGGGGGACAAAAATGTTGCGTAATATGGGGGGGAGGGGGTCAAATTTTTTGTTAATTAATACAATTTTAAACGAAAAATTTTTTCACGTCCAAATTTTAATTCTTTAGAAATGATTACAATGATGATATGTTATTATGATTATAATGGTGTTGCTAATGAAGAAATATTGCAACTTCCTGTAATTTAATTTTTGGTATAAATTGAAGTTTTATTAATTTGATCATTCATTTCTGATGAGTAAAAGAAAAATTTAACTTTTCTTTATTAAATGTGTAATTATGCTACTAAATATGATGTTATTAAACTTTGTTTTGATTATGTAATATAAAGCACTATGTTACTTTCTTACAATACAGTTTTAAATTTCATTTAATAGTGTCTACGTCTTGGTAAATTATAGGCATGGACGTTTCTACCTTTTTGGTACAGACTGCCCTAATTGTGTTTTTATGCCATGGAATTTTGACATAAATTTTTCGTAAATTTTTTCATGTCATAGAATTTCGACATAACATTCTTATACCTTGGTTATAATGGCCATAAATATATAAATAGCCATTAGCGAGTTTGGTGTGAGTCTTTAGGATTATCTTTTACCTCTTTACAAGATGTATAACATATAGCTTAAATTTACTTGCAAGCAAATGTATTGAGCATTCTTTATTTACATTAGATTAAATATCTAATGTAAATAAAAAAATCAATACATTTGCTTGCAAGTAAAATGGTGTTGCTGATGAAGGAAATCATGGTTGGGTGTGTTTTGATTTTAATTTCGATAAATTTTTCAGTTTGGAAACTTGACCTTGGCTTCTATTTGTGGAATGCAAATTAGGTACAGAAAGTTTTTCAACTTGCCCAATTTTTTTGATAGACGACACTGGCTTACCTTCACGTAGTATCTATCATTAAAAATGGTTACTAAATATTTTTTTAATTATTGAATTTAATATTTTAATCATTTACTAAAAGCCAAAACAACACTAATTAAACCATTGCATGTATAATGTCCATTTAACTAGAAAATTTTATTCAATTTTATTAACAACTTATTTTTGAAAAAAAAACAACCAGTATAAACCTTATCCTACATCTTAACATAAAAACATTTTTACATGACTTTTACAGAAAAAGATTTTAATTTAGGAAGGAGTAGTTTTAAACACACTCTCTGACACACATTAGTTATACTTATTAAACACATCCAGACACACATATCATATTATTAGACACACACACATACACACATATTATGTAGTATTTGCTAATAGAGATTTTTATGCTATAAAAATTAATCAAGTAAAATATTTGATGTAGAAGTTAAAATTTAGACTAGATAAGGAAAAAAATATTACCCATTAACAAGGCAGCAAGTAAGTTTCAGTTTGCCATTTTATTATATATCACAAAGCTGTTAATAGTAATATATATATATATATTTAGTTACTGAGTTGTTTTATCTAAATCATTTTTTTTGAGTACTCTTTGTTTCGTTTTGCTTGTAAATATTTCATCTTTTTAATATTTTATCAAACTAAATCTCTAAATCAAAATTTGTTTCCTAAATTGGTTTCAAATTGAAATTAACTTTTTTTAATGACCTTGTAGACGATGATATAATTTTTAGAAGGTAATCTAATAGTTTTTTATAATTTAAAGTTTCTGTTACGTTTTTAATTTTATAAGTTTGTAACAAGTTTATTAGATTCACGTATTCAAATCATTTTATACAAAAAATTTTTTATATTTAGATCAAAAGACACAAAAAAAACTGCGTGAGTGTTAATAGTTTGATTTTATTTATGTAAATTAAAAGTATTGCAAGATTTTTTTTTAAGTTGTTAGGCACCCATTTTACATATATATATATATATATATATATATATATATATATATATATATATATATATATATATATATATATATATATATATATATATATATATATATATATATATATATATATATATATATATATATATATAAATATATATATATATATATATATATATATATATATATATATATATATATATATATATATATATATATATATATATATATATATATATATATATATATATATATATATATATATATATATATATATATATATATATATATATATATATATATATAGTTAACATAAATATATAGACCAGACAGTAATTATTTGTCTAGCATGCGCGATTTTAAAAAATATTTGTTTTTGTACCTCTTTAAGGGGAATTTGACCAAGACAAAAGAATAAAAACACGCTTAAAATATTTTGGCGAGCGCTTGAAAAAGCGCCAGTCGTCTTATTGACGGGCGTGTGGGCCAGCGTATAACTGCAAGAGCGCAAAAGTGCTCGTCAAACGGAGAATATTATATATATATATATATATATATATATATATATATATATATATATATATATATATATATATATATATATATATATATATATATATATATATGTATATATATATATATATATATATATATATATATATATATATATATATATATATATATATATATATATATATATATATATATATATATATATAAAGTTTCATTTTTATTTCAACATAGTTAATTTACATTTATTTATTTTTAGACGAAGAAGAAAATGTACTAGATATAAATCAAAATTAAAAATTTGTTTTAAGTTTTTAAAAAAATGTTTGTTATAAAACTTATTGAAATATTTGTTCATTATTTAGCAAAAAAAGTTGGAGTTAAATAAAGGTATGGTACTTCAATTTGCTCCAAAAAATTTAACAAGAATGCTATAACTAAACACTTCTTAATTTTTAACAATAAAAAGATATGGAATAAGTTAAAATATTTTTTTTTTAGTGAAGATAAAGGAGGAGATTGGTATAAATTGTATAATTTACTTTTAAATTAATTTTCAATTAAAAAGCTATGACATGCTGTAATGTTTCATTAAAATATCTTTTAGCTCGCATATCTATTAGCTCGCAAAAAAGAGGAACTTGGTAGATATATATCTTTATTAAATTATAAATTTGTTTTTTCTTGGATTATACTAAATAAAAATAATTTAAAATAGGAACTTTGGTTTTTAGCTAAAAAAAAAAGAAGTACTTGGTAGAATTTTAATTATTTTATTGAATTCATTGAAAGATATGTTTTTAAAAGAATTTTTTATTTTATTTTAGCTGCTGCAGAGCAAATTAGTTACGGTATTTTATTTGTTTCTCACTTTATTTTTATTTTAAAATAGATTTATAGATAAGTCAATATGAAATTTTAGTAATTTTACTAAAGTCACTGACTTTTTTTCAGATTTACCAACCTCATCGGTGTCATCACTATTTCTGCCACCTGGCGCCAACAATTCTGAAGAAAACCTTAAAAGTAATTTTTTAACAACTTTTTCTTTATTTTCATTTTTTGATTACTTTACTAAAGTTTTGCTTTTACTTAATATAGGTTTGTCAATGATGGATTTTCTTATTTGGCGCCAAAGCCACCCTGAGCCTAAATCAAATCGGGCTTTTCGTATATGGGGCCAGAATGGAGGCTAAGACTTGCCTAATTTTAAATTTCTGCCTCTTGGTAGCAGAAGGAGTGGCAGAAGAGGCAGGAAAACAAACCTTGTTGTAAGACTATACTTACATGATTAGTAATAGTAACACTATACATACACGATTAATAATTTGTTTTGTAATATGAAAAGCGAAAATTTCATAGAATGGTTTCATTCAATTTTTTTAGTTCATGCAAACAAACTTCAATGGATATAAAGTTCTATTTTTAGACGGCCATGCATCTCACATTAATTTTGAATTAAAAATATTATCTGAATCAAACAGCATAATGTTATTCTGATATCCAACTCAAAAAAGTCATTTTTTGCAACCACTAGATGTCGGAATTTTAAAACAGTAAAGGCGGAATTGAAGCGAATTGTAGAAATTTACTTGGTTAGAAATTCTTATTTAAGTTTCCGGCAGTTTTCAGCTATGCTAAAAGACCTTATTGCAACTAAAAGCTATAAAGGGAAAATACACGTAGTGGTTTTGAAAATACAGGCATATTTCCACTCAGTCGTTCAAAAATAACTCCAAATAAAAATGCAATCGGTGCTATTTTTCAAGATGTAACAAATGACAAAATTGAGAATTTTTTTTCTGGAAAGTCTACTGATTCACAAGTTTCACTCAATAAAAACTAATAAAATAAATTCAAAAAACTCTATGAATAGACTTTCAACAAAAGAAGTATTGCCCAAAGAATCAGATAACATCAAAAATGCCGTTAAACAAGCATCTTAACATATCATAACAAGCATATTAATATATCAGTGCTCAGTGTGCTTAGATATAGATTAAAGCCTCTTTCCAGTAGTAAAGAAAAGGGAAAAATAATTAAAAGAACAACAAGTTACAACATGACTGAATTATTCGCATTGGCTCAGGACTAAGCAACACAAGCTGCAAAAAAAAAAGAAAACTAGATGAAAAAGAAGCCAGAAAAGTTGTTAGAGAAAAAAAAATTGGATTCAGCAATTATCAAAGAACAAAAGTTTAAAAAAAAAAAAAAAAAAAACTTTTAAAACTTAAAAAACCCCGAAGACGATCTCAGAAATATAACAAAACAACAAAGATATTTACTAGTCAAAATTATAAGTGACTTCCTGCCGCCAGCTGTAATCCCTACCATACCAATTGTCTTTTTATTTCCTGCGGAAGCCTTTGGACGAAGCTACAAGCAGCAAATGGATTGCACGTGAAAAGTGTGCTAACTGATCGTGTATTCCTTGTATTATCAATCATCACAAAAAAATTGATTTCGTGTGCAAGGAGTGTGAATAGCTTTTATTAGCTATTATTAATTTTTGTAGCTTGACGTTTTAAAACAATATTTTTTAATACAACAACTTTTTCATTAAATTTTTTTTTAAATTAGAAATCTGTAAATTACAGTTAGGGTTGCCACCTCCAAATGAATTAGTATTTATTTTGAGGTAGCAACCGTAGCTGTACTGTACAGATTTGTTAATTTACAGATAATAGAGAAATACAGATATATTGCTGCCATACTATTTAATAAAAACTAACTGTGATACTATTTATTGGCGAAGAATAATGGCGTGGTTATAATAATGGAAGGTATTAAAATAATAAGTTTCAGTTAGCAAAATTAAGGGGTTACTGAACAATGTTTTAGTCTTTGAATTACTGCCATTTAAAAATTCAACTGCGTAAGGGTTAAAACTGCATTGCTATATGATAAAAAAGCACTACAAGCTTCCTATTTAATAAATGGGGAAGCATTCGTAAAGGCTGCAACCAACCTTTAAACTCTTTTTCGCACTAGTATCTGCAATCATTTTTTTAAAATTGATTATTTTATCTAAGTTATCTAAGGACTTAACAAATTTTTTTGATATTTATTTTGCTTTTGATGTGTATTTTATTTTCGATGGAAAACAAAAACAAAAAAACCCAGAAACACGAAAATATAAATCAAATTGTTATAGAGATATTCAATGTGAAAAATTTACTTTTACTATTACCCGCGTATTTATTTGCAGAAGTTTCTTGTAGCTCTATATAAAACTTAGAGCTTAGAGGCATATCACAATTATTCAAGTTTTAAAACTATTAAAATATAATGCAAGTACTTCTATTTTTAATTCTGATATGTTTTGATAAGAACTTTGAACCGGGAAAACTGTTTCAACATTGTCCCATAAAATAATTTTTCGAGATGAAACTTTAATTAATATTTTAGCAATTCTGTCATTGCGTTTCAGTAGAAACTTTTTGAAGTTCTACAAGCCGTTCAAAAACTAGTGTGAATAGTAAATTCTAAGATGCAATAGTAAATTCTAAAAGCAGCCATCTTTGGAAAAACCTTTCACCTTGTTGAAAAAAAAAAAGGTTTAAACAAGAAGAAAAAAAGCTTGAAAAAAAGAAAAGTTGAAAAAAGTTGAACAAGTAAGTTGAAAAAAAGAAAGTTTGAACAAGTAAGTTGAGAAAAAGAAAACTTGAACAAGTTAAAAAAAGAATGTTTAGTACTTTTGCGATTCATTTTCATTTTGGTTCATCATCATATTGATTTTGGTTCATCATCATATTGATTTAGGTTCATCATACATGATTTTTCAACTTTTTTACTTACTGCTTCAACTTGTTTGAACTTTTTTTCTAAGATGAAGATGAAGACGACTAAAATGACATTTTTTCAGAGAAAATATTTTTTATGTTTTTTTATAGAAAATATTTTTTATGTTTTTTTAGAGAAATATTTTTTATGTTTTTTTAGAAAATATGTTTTTTATGTTTTTTTAGAAAATATGTTTTTTATATTTTTTTAGAGGAAATATTTTTGATGTTTTTTTATAGAAAATATTTTTTATGTTTTTTTAGAGAAATATTTTTTATGTTTTTTTAGAAAATATGTTTTTTATGTTTTTTTAGAAAATATGTTTTTTATATTTTTTTAGAGGAAATATTTTTTATGTTTTTTTAGAGAAAATATTTTTTATGTTTTTTTAAAAAATATGTTTTCAATATTGTTTTAGAAAATATGTTTTTTATATTTTTTCAGAGGAAATATTTTTAATGTTTTTTTAGAGGAAATATTTTTTATGTTTTTTTAGAGAAAATATTTTTTATGTTTTCTTCTAAATTAGTAAAAAATCTATTCAGAGAATCACATGAAACCGCAGAACGTTTTCTAAAAATATTTTTACATCCTCGATTTGATAAAATATTTTTATATTGATCTAAAAACGATTTTGCCTAACTATCACTTTAGCAGTCCTTAAAAGTTTTTGTCTATAAAACTTTGTATAACTAAATTAAGTCTTTTTTAAATGCACAACTAAATGCACAACCAAATGCGCTAAAATTTGCAATATATTGTGCAATTGACAATTTTCTATCTGGTAATATTTAACTCCTTTGACCAAACACACTAAGTTGGAGTTAAATGTAAGTTGTGTAAACTACTAACATGACACCTCTAGGCTCTGTGTGGTATTTTTAAAAGCTGATCAACATATTTACAAAGTTCTGTATCATTAAATGGGGTTCTTTGTTTTTAACATTATCAAGTTCAATAGTCTATTTAAAACTATTATGTGTGTAACTAATTTTATTGTTTTTGACTTGATTTTAAGGAGTCTCTTACTATTTATACAAATTTGTTATAAAAAAGAAAAAACGTGCAGGCTACTCATATTCAAATTATGTGTATTCGTTTGTAAACATTTAATTTTTTGTCAATTATATTTCAACAGCAATAAGTTATTTTAAATGTTTCACTCATTTACTCCAAATAAAAGTACCACCTAACTTTAAACATTGAGGTAACCACATTTTATGAACAGTTTATTTATAAGATTTTAAATTCTATAAAAGTTTACTTCTATTAATATATTGTACACGAAAGAAAATTCAACAGAAATTATTTAGGTAAAACCGCTTACATCTAATGTTTCTTCATAGTGTTTATAATTTTTTTTTTTTACAGAGTTTGATGAACCTGCACGCGATGTTTTACTTGTTATCGGTTGTTTTTTTATTATTATTAAAACTGTTTTTAATTAACACTCAGTTGTTTTAGTTACTTAGCTTTATCTACTCTATTAGGCTTTTAAAATCTAAATGTTAATGGTCACGCAATTTCTCAATAAAGTGCTCGATTACTCCATGTTATGGTATTTGTATTCGCGTAATGACTTCGCTAAATATTAAAACGATATGATTATTACAAACGGGATTTTCAATTTGAGCAAGTGTATAATTTAGTTACGTTTGTTTTTTTTTTGTCGGTTGTGATTATTACCAATAACTTATTTTTTTAAAACTATTACAACTTCTTTTCAATTTTTTTTATCAACAAAAAAAAATTTGTTTAGTTTATTTTTGTTTTGCTGTTATTACATCAAAAATCGAAGTTTAAACACATGTTTTAGACAGCTTAAATATTTTAGACAGCTCAGTAAACTTTTTTTATTTTTGTTATACTTAATTAAAGTGTTGTAAAAAAAGTTCAAGAATTTTTTTTTCTTAAAATAAATGATCATGAATTGATTGCTTTATTTTTACATTATATTCCAATATCATACCACCACTATTAACGCATAAATATGCATTTTTAGTATTATATTTTAATACCGGACCACCTTCTAAAAAGTAATTTTTTTACTTTTATTAAAAAGTGTTTCTTTAAAACAATAACGATTTTATATTCGAAAAGCTGTTATAATTTCAATTTATACCATCAGTGAATATAAGAGCTGCATCTCAGAACTGGAGAGAAATTTAGTGATGATCCCCAAATAAACCCTAATCTCAAGAATATTTGATTCTTATATTGCTCTTATTATTTAAAAGAAAAAAAATTAGTAGGGGAAGTGCGGGCATAACCGCATATAGAGGCACAACCGTTTTTTAACATTTCTCTTTGAAAAATGTTATTTAATATGGCAAAAAAAATACCACGCATTAGTAAAACAGTTTCCTTCATTTTGCTTATGTCAAAAAGAGTGCCTGTTATGTTTCTAAGAAGTAATGCATAATAATGTTTATTTTGATAAAAATATTATATTTAGGGGAAAGGCGCTTATGATGTCATAGCGCCTATGATGTCATACCGGTCATGTTTTCATAAAAATTAGTTTTGGTGAAAAAGTGATTAGACCTACATAACTATACTGACTTTACATTAGTTTTAGTAAAAATAAGTTCCTTTTGCACAAATATTGTTTTTATAATCAAGAAAAATCGATTTTGGGATGTGCTGTTGTAGTTTTATTCCCTTCATATGTTTAAGATTGTTATTTTATTTTTAACTCTGCAGAAAGGAAATTTTCATGCATTTTATATAAGTTTTGTGCATTTAGTGGAATACTTACTTTAATTTTATCTTTTGAACAAGGCAGATACAGCTTGTTTTAATGAAAATGATGACTTCTTCCAATGAAGGCATACTGACGAGTTGGGTGTAGCAATATTGACGAGTAGGGAAAACCTTTTTTTTTTATAAGAAAAACTTATTTTTAAGTAAATTAAAAAAAAGCGATGCTTCAAAAGTTTTTTTTTGGTCATAAAACGCAATAAATCCTATGCGCATGCGCGAAACTTTACAATGCTACTGTGTAGCATGAAATGGTAAATTAGAATGGTTCCGAGTAATTTCTAGCTTTTCTAAGGGAAGACTCTAAGGTTAAAGGAAATTATTAAATTACCCTTGATCCTAACCAGCCCCATCCTCCCCTATGCCATCATATATGATGGCATAGGGGAGGATGGGGCTGGTTAGGATCAAGGGTATTTTAATATGCATAGGAGCAGTAGTTGCCTATGATGGTATACTTGTGCTTTTTTTTTAAATAGGAACAACTTGTAAAAATAACAAAACTGATAAAAATTCCGAGGGTTATTATTGTTCTACATGTAACAAGGAATGCATCCATATCAAAATTTTTATTATTGGTCTTCAGGATACTGATTAATGAAGCTTCAATGTTAAGTATGCCATCATAGGTGCCTTTCCCCTTCATCATATTTGAAAGACCTTTTTTTTTATAGATTAAGCAATCTTTGATTTTAGTGTAAAAGATATGTGTTACAGCATTATTTCATCAAGTGAAACCCGTTTTTGATATTAGCATAATCTAATAAGTAGGCTATGAAACTGCATTCTTTCTAAAAACTGTCCTGAAGGGAAGAACCGCATAGACGCACAGGAGGCACAGCCGCATACTTTTAATATTTATCAAAATTAAGTAATTTCGAATAACAATAATAACAATCGTCACACCTGAATGCATTAATGTAAAAACTTGAATAGTTTTGCGTTGAGATGTCAGAAAAGTTGTTAAAAATGTTAAAAAAGTTTTGTTTTGAGAAAAAGATGTTAGAAATCAAAGCCAGCGCGATAGGGGGGTGTGAAGGAAGGGGGTAATGATTTTTAGTCGGCAAATCGGACCCTTAGTCGGCAAATTGGACTCTTTTAGACTGGTTAGTCGGCAAATGTCGACCCTTTCGATATAGGTTAGTCGGTAATCTAGACAGTCGGCAAATGTCGTCATGGCTGTCGGCAAATTTTGGAAAACGAGGACCTTTTTTTTTTTTTTTGTCGGCAAAATGTAATGGCAACCGCGACCCCCCCCCCTCCACGTGTCACCTACTCGCGCCGGCCCTTTTAGAAATGTTTTGTTTTTTGTTAGGAAAGTTTTGTTAGGAAAGTTTTGTTAGAAAAGTTTTGTTAGAAAAGTTCTGTTAGACAAGTTTTGTTAAGAAATTTTTGTTAGAAAAGTTTTATTTTTTGTTAGAAAAGTTTAGTTTTTTTATCAAAAAAGATGTTAAAAAAGTTTTGTTTTGAGAAAAAAATGTTAAAAAAGTTTTGTTTTTTATCAGAAAAGTTGTTAGAAAAGTTTGTTTTTAGTTAGAAAAGTTTTGTTTTTTGTTAGAAAAGATGTTAGAAAGGTTCTGTTTTGAGATGTTACAAATTTGATTTCGTATTTTTTTATTTAATTTTTATAAATGAGTTTTTGAATAAAAATAAAGCTAAGAGTATATCGAATGCAAAAATTTAGACTGTTAGTACAAGGAATGCCTACACAGTATGCAAACGGGCAACAAAATCAGCAAATAATCTGAGCTATGGCAAATGTAAAGAAAATGTACCTAGAAAAGTGAACACCCAACAATTTTTGTGAGGGTGCGGTTGTGCCTCACAATGGGGGCAAAACCGTTTTTTTCACTAAGTGTACTTTTTGTGTAATAACATTTTCAAAATCCGTTCAATTTTTTTCTTAACTGCATTAATTTAAAGCTTAATGATGAAACAAACTGTTAAAAAAACACATTTCGTTTTTATTTTCATATAACATTACTCCAAACGTTACGGGGGCGGTCATGCACCCACTTCCCCTATATAAGCGTTTGACGTCTAATTTAAGGAGAAACTCTCTAAAAACTCTAGAACAACTTCTTTATACTTTAAAACGTAAAACATAAATCAGCAGAGAAACAAATTTGAAAAAAATTTTTTTTAAAGAGTTGTCTTAAAGATAAGAAAAAAGGCGAAGAAACAACACAGTTTTAAACATTAGAATGTAAAATATGACGATAAGATAATTCCTGGATTACATTCGTGTTCCATGTGACAACAAAAAACTAATCTTTGATGGCATTAATTATAGAACCAAGAGTTTCATACGTAGATAAGTAGAATCAAGAGTTTCATACGTAGGTAAGTAAAATCAAGAGTTTCATAGGTAGATTGATTTGTAATATTCATACATATTTTTTGGATAAAAGGCTGCTTCAGTTACCTCGGGGTTTCCTGTGCCAAAATGTAGTATAGAGTTAAATTTGTTTTCTCAACGATTTTCTAATCGAGTTAACTTTGTTTTCTCAGGAGAATAAGCAGTGAAATGACTTTTATTTGACTGTTTTATTTTTTTATAAATTAATTTAAAATTTAGCTTTTTGCGTATATTTTTCAAATTTTAAACAATAATTTTTCTTCAACGATAGGTTCTTTTCAATCTATAAAGTTTTTGAGAAGATCTCCGTGATTGCATACAGACGTTACCTTTAGCTCAAACCAAAATAAATACTCCACAGGTTGATTTTCTTTTTAACATTTTTCATCTTGCATTAAAATCCAAATTTTCTGCCCAAAATTGCTCCTATAACTCTATCAAAGCATCACAATTATATGGTGTTTATTTAAAACATTTTTCCCTAATGTTCCACCTAGTTTCACAAAGTTATAAAGCTTTTGGTTATAAAAAGATTGCTATTATTTAAGTTCTTCTCTTTATATGTTCTGCAAGATGCTTCTCAACATACATTCTTATTTTGGTGAATATTTAACTAATGCGCATCTTCCCACACGGTTCCCATAACATCATAGAGAATTGCATCTTTAATTAGTAGTTTGTACGAGGTTGTAACCGTGGGCACGTTAATTGTTTAAATTCAAGTGAGACTTCAAAAGAATGTCAATAGATTAATTTACAATATTATCATATTTAATTAGCAAATTTATAAAACTTCATATAAATATCCAAAAAATTTAAACTCGTCCCCTTATTAGTCACGATGGAATATAATTTTTTCCTCAAAGTGTTGAAACTCTTAAAACGTTTGGTGCTATGGTGTGGAATAGTTTGTACTGGATGTCATCATGAATGTACTTTATATAAACTTTACTTTTCATTATAATGAAGTTTTAAACTTATTTTGAACCAGTAAGCTTGGCTTGAACGCACTTTAGCTACATTCTTCAATTTTAAAAAGAACCCAAGGATAAAACAGCTTATCATTTTTGTAATACTATTTGCTGAGGCTTGGGACGCTTTCGATATTTGCGACAATAATTTTGATATTTGCGACGATGATTTTGATATTTGCAACGATGATTTTGATATTTGCAACAATGATTTTGATATTTGCGACAATTATTTTTTAATATGCTACTATTTGCATTGTTATCTGCTGGTATTAATTAGACTTTTTCTGCTGGTATTAATTAGTTTTTTTTCGCTAGTTTTGACACATTATTTGTTAACTGTTCATTGTTTTTAAAAGCATTTAGGTTTGTATATATTTCTTTAAAAGTTGTAATTAAATAAACGTTTGTGCAGCACAACTCCAAAACAGACAATTACATTCAAAATAAAATCTTTATTTTGAATGTAATGTTGAATATGGTCTCGAATAGTATCTTGAAATATCTTAAATACCATCTTAAATACCATCTTAAATACCATCTCGAATATCATTTTATATACCATTTTGAATACCATCTTGAGCACCACCTTGAAATGTATTTTAAACAGTTAACATAAATGAGATTGGGCGAATGCTGACACACTGCAGATTTCTTGCATGTTTATAACTTTTAATGGTTACAACTTTATGAACTATTACATTGTTACAACTTTTGAACACTAAAAAATTGTTAAATGAAAATTAAAACATGTCGATGAACTTGAGTATAAAATGCTAAAAAATTTATTTAATTAGCTGATTGTCCTCACATTCAGTGAAGGGAAAGCTAACCTTTTGTTCCTTGGCTCTAATCACCGCTATTTTATGAAAAAACTCTCATTTGGAATAAGGATGAACATATACTAGTTGAGAATTTGAACAAACGTGCAAATTCTAAAAAGTGAAAATACCTTAACGTGTCATATTAAAAACATCAAAAAAAACATATCTACCTCACTGCAAAAAGACATTTTGTTCCTTGCAAATATATCTTTTAAACTATAATTGTTCCTTGCAAATATATCTTTTAAACTATAATTAAAACATAAAAACTAAACTTCTTATAGCCTAATTTTAAGTAAAAACTTTTTCTTTTAAAAGGTTATATATTATATACATTATAGTTTCTATTGATTAAACCTTTGTAAATAAAAGCTGGCAAATACTTACTATGAATTATGTTGAATTTCACCGTTTATACTTAAATATTATGTGTGTTTTTATTTTTAAAAAAATACACAAGTTTGCTTCCTAAAATAAAAAAACAACCGACAATTAATATGTTATAAGGATGGTTATGCGCTAAACCAGTCTTTCCAACAAAGTTGAAAAAAAAATAGTTTATATCAAAAAATGACTTATGTAGTGTTTGTTTGCAAACAACAATATTCTATAGTTGAAATATTTAAGTACAGTGGACAGCAATTACATTTAGTTTATTTGGTGTTGCCGCTTTTTTTGATAACTTTAAAACTTTGCGTCCAATTATCTCATATCAACATATTTGTCGTGTAAGCTGTTTTGATATTATACCATCCATATACGTTTTTACTTCTTTTTATTAATAAATATTATACAAAAAACTAGGGAGGCTAATGTTTGTATAATAACCTAAGTGGATGGTAACATCCATTTTAGAGTTAAAGAGTTGGATTGAAAATATCTTTTCTTTTATGGTAAGAGGTCGTGTTACTTAGTTAGGTGGTAAAAATTGAGTAAGAGGTGGTAAGAGGGGGTGTTAGCTAGTATTTCAGTCTAATTATACAAAAGAATTCCCTCTGAAACCATTGAGCAGTTGTTTTTTATCATTTATAGAAATCAAATTCAATATTTTTTTTATATGAATCTAAAGTATTTCAAACACTTTGATATTTGTGAAAATTCATTTTTAGTTTCTTTTGTACTGTTGGTTTTTTAAAACGTGCATAAAATAAATAATGTAATTTGAATTCAATATTGGCGATCAACAGAGGCGCCACTCATGACTCATTAGGCGCCTCTCATGACAATATTTTGCGTTACTGTTGGATTTAGTTTTACCATCGATACCTTAATTTTGCAACAACCAAATGAAATAATAGAAAATTCTTAATAACAGTTTTTAAACAAATGATATTAAAAAATGTGTTAGAAAGTAGTGCTACTTAATATGAAAAAAAAAAAATTTATAAAGTAACGTAGCAACCTAAGTAAGTAGTAACATAAGTAAAAATCTTGAAAAATAAACGAAAAATATTTTAATAAAAAAAATCTTTAAAGTAGAAAAATTCTATTTCATTTCTTGAACATTACCTAGGTAACCAATTTCGTGTCTAAAAGTGTTTTGAAACCAATGAAGAGCAATGAAAATTTTTAAAATACTAAATATTTTCAACCTAATTTTTTTCGCTTTTTATAAAGTATAATTTTTACGCAAAATGTTAATAATAACTATCATTAAATGTATACGTATTTTTAACAAAATTGATAACAAAAAATAATAGTACAGTTTTGAAGAAAATCTTAAAAGTTATTTAATTTCATCCAAAATAAAATCATAAAAACTCAATTTTATTTACCATCAGACATGTACGAGGTATATACGAGGCATAGAGCGAACAAGTTTAAAACATTTCTTAATATCAAGTAAATTTCTTTCGATTGAAGAGCATTTTGTTTCAAAGTATTATTTTTTCTTAAGGTCTTTTACTAAATGCCTAATACGGGTAAGATCTGTTTTTAACATAAGCAACTCCGTCAAGGAATTTTATTAGTTCTTTGAACCAATCTTTGACTAATTTAGATCAGTGTTAAGGATCATTATTTTGCATGAGTAAGGTTGCCAGATGTCCGGCTTTTACATTTGTAAAAACAGTGCCGAAGCAATAAAAATCAGAGGCGTCCCAAGGTAGGGGAAGGCGTAGGGGTGTCTAACCCCCCTACTAGATTTACTAGTGGGCATGTTGGACACTGGAGTCGGCAAAATTAGATCTATAGTTGGCAGTTGGCAAATGTCAGCAATAAGTACCTTTTATTATTTTTATTTTTTTGGCCTTAGTCGGCAAAAAACGGATGAAACGAAATTTCCGAGCTAAGGATGTGAAAATAATCCAATTAACATTTTTATAATATAAAAATAATCCATTTATGTGAATGTTTTTTTTTTTTTTAAAAATATGAAAATAATCTAAAAAATTTTTATTGCTGATTCAATATACTAACCCTCATACCACGCAAAAGAAAAAAACCTTATTTTATAATGCTTAAACCTCCATACAATAAAAAAATTGTGTTTTTTGGATTAAGTTCTGTACTTTTTTAGCCGCCTAACTTTTTTACAAAACGTACAGTCTTTAGGTTTGACGTCAGTTTTAAAATTTTTCTTAAAATTGACAACAATTTTCTTAAAAAAGGCCGGCGCGATAGGGATGTTTGGGAAAAGGGAGAGGGTGAGGGGTGAGACACCCCTATCAATCAATTTTTTGTTCATTTAGTCGGCAAATTTAACCCTTGTAAGTCAGTCGGCAGGTGTAGACTTTTTAGACAAGTCAGTCGGCAAATGTAATTTTTTTAGATCAATCAGTAGGCAAATTTCAAAAAACGAGGACTTTATTTTTTTAGTCAGCTAAAATTGTAATGGCACCCACACACGTACCCACCCCTCCAACATGGCATCAACTCGCGCCGGCCCTGACGACAAACCCAATTTTATTTATGTGCACACTTTCAAACTAAAGTGTGGACATAAATAAAATTACGTTTGTCGTCAAAGCTTGTAATTTTTTTTTCAAAAACGTCTCAATAATAATAGTATATTGCTTCAATAATGAAAATCTTCAATACATTATTTTCACATAACAAAAAAAAAAAAAAAAAAAATCATAACAATTTTTATAAAAATAAAAATTTTCACAAAAATGAATTATTATCGTTCGAGCGTGAATAATTAATATTTCGCTTTTTTTATAAGTGTTGATTTTATGGTTGGAACATTACTTTTAAATTCGAGTTGAGCACGCTCACCAGTGTGATCATTTTATTTACTTTCTATTAAATGGACGGTTATGCCATTAGTGGTTGCATCTTACGCAAAACAACTTTAAATATGTAGCTAGTAGCTAATAGGCAACTGCTAGTAGGCAACTGCTCAAAATAAAATACGCAAATAAATTTCGTAACTAAATTTCGCAACTAAGTTTTGCAACTAAATTTCAAAAATAATAATTAAAAAAAAATGAACTACATGCTTGCTTTAGTCTAGACAAAATAAACTTTATTTGCTAAAGTGGAACCTGGTGTAGATTTAAAAACTTTTTAATTACTTTTGAGTGTTTGTGATAATTACAAATCAGAATAAATAGTCCTGAATATTTGAACGCATTATTATTCACTTTCTAAAAAAATAGCAAAACTGACCATTAAAAATGTTTCCTTGGTAAATAAAAACAACATCTTTAGTGAGTGACAGCCTTAGGGCAGGCTTTAGGCACCTGAGCTAATATTTTGTTGATTTACGTTAGATAGTAGATGCTCACATAAAAGTTTTTCATTAAAACATTTTAATTATATTACATCGAACATAAAAAAACAACTTAAAAACAAAAAGTTTTATCGCAAAAAATTATTGCCTCTTAAACATTGCATTAAATATAGAAATCAGTTTGAAGGGTGAAACCTTAATATTACAAAGAATATACAAAAGTTTTCAAGAAAAATTGTTCAAATATGCATTTTCAAAGTTTGGTTGTTTTTTTTATGTCGAGTTTTGTCTTCAAGGTTTTTTCTTTTTTAATTATTAATTTTAACTTAAAAATTTTAATTTTACTTCTTTTTTTAATTTGCATTTTTTACTCTTATAATGACGTCATAATAATAGCTTTTTAGTTGACTTATATTCATCAAGGAAGAATAAATACCCTTGATTCTTAAGAAGATTTTGATAATTTATCATGAATAAAATAATTTAAAATTATTCATACTAAATATTACTGTTTTATGGTATTTATTATGATTAATAATACAAGTCTATGACATAATAAATTAAGAAGACATAATATTGACAATGGTTTCACAGAAGATTTTAAAAGATTTAAAAACTTTCAACATTTTTCAAGAAACTATAACTATTTTAACAATATAAAACATTTGAATTTTATAACATTTTATAAAAAAGACTGTTTTAATTTTATAAAAAAGACTGTTATATACAAAAAAACTTTTTTACATCTACATAGTTAAAAGTAACCATGTAAATGCGACCATATAGAATGTAACTACGCAAGCCCAGTGACCAAAAGATTTCCAAAAAAAAGGTTTAAAAGTTATTGTCTAAACTTTTAATGTTCGAAAGTTAATATTTACCTAATGTTAACAAAAAAAATTATTCAATCTAATTAGATGTTAGATGATAAATCAATCTCAAGAGAATAATCTTTTTAACACGTGTGTATTTTTTTATTTTTATTTTCAGTGTATTTTGTTTTTCTTTAAACACAAAAAACTCGCACAAAATAAAAAACTTATTTACGAAACTTTTGGGATTGGCTTTTAAAGGATGCACATAAATATGTTCATGTATGTAAGGGGTACAGGTAACACATATATGTATACGAACAGCCCACAAAGTGTACTTGAGATATTTTAACAAACAAAAATTAAAAACTTTTTATCATTTTTTTATTTTTTACGGTATTGTCATAGAACGTCCCGAAAGATTTTCTGACTAACTAGGATGTTGCTGATGTTGCAAGTATGACTAGAACTGGCTTTAAACCACAGTCCACTAATTTATGAAACAAAGAGCTCTGACCACTATGCCACTGCTGCTGCATAAATATATAGTACCATAAGCAGGGGCAGATCCAGACCATTAAGTAGGGGGAAGGGGTACAGTTTTAAAATGTTTTTGATTTTTTGCATCAAAACCATTTAGAAAAGAATGAAGGGGAAGGTTAATTTAGTTGATCTAAACTATCTAGTAAAGTAGGGAGGAGGAGGGTAGTTTTTCAGGTTTTTGAGTTAATTTTTTAAAAATATTAGTCTTTTTCTGTCTTTTTCTATGTAGTTATAAATATATGTTGTGTAATAATATCCCATCTGTCCAATATTTTTTTGGACAACATAGACTTATTAAATATTTTTATCACATTTAAACAGCTCTGCCCTACTAAACCAAAATGACGTATCTTTACATTTCGCCCCCATTACGAAGAAGTTTTTTAATTTAGATTTTTGTCTCCAAGCGTTGATTTTAACAACAACAAAACCACTTAATCCTTTTCTTTTTTTCTTTTTTTATTTTTTTTTTTATTTGCAATTATGTTTTTTAAAATTTATTTGTAATTATTATTTATTTGATGTCTTGCAAAAGGCTTTAAAGAAATCTTTATGAAATATAACTTTTTTATCATTCTTTTAGTCCATATTATTGATTTTTAGAAATCGTTATTTGTTCTTGATCTAGCCACGATGGAGAGCTTATTTACTTAGTTTACAGAGACTCTTTAATCATATTTTAGCATACCTTATTTTTGTTTTTTGACAATAAAATTAAATGTTTTCCTTAATATGAGAACTAAATACGAAGATTATTTCAGAAATCTTGCAATACAAATTTTAAAATGATATCAGCACTTCCTTTTTTTAGGATTATAGAAAAGTGTTTGACGATATTTTTCAAAACATTAGTTTTATAATATGATTAAGATTATCTTTAAAAAGTTTTATTTATACAAAAATCTCAAATAGTTAAGCAATATATAAACTCACATTGCAACATCGCGACAGTAAAATGAGGTCAAAAATAATATGTGATGGGTAGTTTATTTTCAGTATGAAAGATATCTCTTTAAATTTAAATTTCCGCTCACAAAAGATATCTCTCCAAAAAGTTAAAAATTCTGGTTATGAAAGATACCTCTTTAAATTTACTTCCGTTTACAAAAGATATCTCTCAAAATTGAAATACCAAATGATGATGTCTTTTTCAAAAGATATCTCTCAAAATTGAAATACCAAATGATGATGTCTTTTACAAAAGATATCTCTCAAAATTGAAATGATGATGTCTTTTACAAAAGATATCTCTCAAAATTGAAATGATGTCTTTTAAAATAAGATTTAGCTCTCTTCCTCTTCTAAAGTGCTTCAGCATTATTCAGGGGAAAAATTTAATTTTAGAAACCTTTCAGTTTTTCCTTTATATATAAAAAAACGATTATGTTAAACAAAATTATATTTATACGTACATGTAAAACAAAATACGTTTTTTATACATATTTATACTATTTTACATTTCAAAATCATTATACAAGATCAATGAGAACGAGACGGTTTATAAACATTGAGACAGACGATAGATATGGAATACGACATTTTCCAGCATATTGTTCCATAAATTAACAATGCGATTAGAAAAGTAATACAAAGAATTGTTATGATTAAAATAGAGTTCCTAGAGTTTAAAAATTATGATTACCCAGATTAGATTTAAATTTTAAAACATTTGATAAATCAGTGACCTTAGAATTTATATACAGAATTTAAAATTTATTACAGAAGATTGATAACTTTTTGAAACAAAATCAAAAATTTTCATAAACTTAAAATTAATAATATCAAAAGTAATATGGCGCGAAAAATCAATCATAAAACTTTTTTAAAGTTTTAGTATAATTATTGCATTAAGGAACGACATGTTTGCGATTATGTTATTGAGTACAAGATAATTTATCAGTTTGTCGTTAATAATTTATTGTTTAGCTCGATATATACACCGACACCGACACCGTACACCGACAGCTCGTAGATGTCGAGGAGATGAGTCTAAAAACCTCTTTTTTTTTTCAGCGTAAAAGTGAAAAACATTTAAAAAATTTTTAGATATCAAACAAATGACTTAAAGCAACTAGTAAACTCTTGGTACAGTACTTTTATAGAACATTTAAAATATTTTCCAGACCAGTAGATATAGAAAGTATTATTCAGACATTATATTAGACAGTTGATATAGTAAGTTAAGCTGTTTTTCAATAAAAGTAAAAAAAAAGTTAATAGACGACATAAAAATTGCACGTACGTGAGCACAATCCGTAAAACTTGTTAGAAAATTGTTTCCAACTGAAAAAAACTTGCAAAAAAAGTAAGCACTTGATCCTACCATATTATGTGAATAAATATTTGACATACTGATGAATCTCAGTGATTTAGATATTTGATTTAAGTTTAACATTTACAAAATTAAAAAAAAATTTACTTAAACTTACTTACCAAGATTTACTTAAAAGGTCTACCTATTATCTTTAGCTTTTTTTTACAGCATGAAATAATAAAATAGTCTCTGGTTCAAAAGAGTGGCTCAAATTAGAGATCCTTGTTAAATAAAAAAAAAGATTTTAAAATGAGATTTAAAAATGCTATTTTTAAGGTTTATTTGATTAAAGTACTAAGACCATAGCTGTTTGTAAAACGTATGAAATAGTTATAACAATATACTTTATATGCCAATTGAGCAAGTTAAAATTTTTAGTATAACAACAGCGCTTTTCGTGGAACACAGCGCTTTTCGTGGAACACAGCGCTTTTCGTGGAACACAGCGCTTTTCGTGGAACACAGCGCTTTTCGTGGAACACAGCGCTTTTCGTGGAACACAGCGCTTTTCGTAAAACACAGCTTTGAAAAACACTTTACACTTGCTCCTATTAGTCAGTAATTTTATTACTGACTAATAGAAGTAGTAGGATTTGCCTCAGATGTTAGTGGTTCAAGGCCAAGTTTTATAAAATCGACAAGGAAGGAGGCGTGAACTTCCTTTCAAATACTCATCCGTTGTGATCTGTGTTAAACCATAAAGATTTCTTGAGGCACTTAAAAATAAAATAAAAAATTATACAAATTGATTCCAATAAAATTGTTTCCGGCAATTTTGCTTTCACACTTTGAATAAAGAGCTACTACTCTAAATTACATTGGGTTATCATTTATCTTTATATATATTACATAAGGACTTATTGCATATATATATATATATATATATATATATATATATATATATATATATATATATATATATATATATATATATATATATATATATATATATATATATATATATATATATATGTATTATATATATATATATATATATGTATATATATATATATATATATATATATATATATATATATATATATATATATATTTATACATATATATTTATACATTTCTGATGAGTCTTTATTGATGAAACACAGTGTTAAATGAGAAAAAATTTTGCTAAGCGATTTTCTACTAATTTATATATATATATATATATATATATATATATATATATATATATATATATATATATATATATATATATATATATATATATATATGTATATATATATATATATATATATATATACATATATATATATATATATATATACACACATATATATATATATGTATATATATATATATATATATATATATATATATATATATATATATATATATATATATATTTATACATATATATTTATACATTTCTGATGAGTCTTTATTGATGAAACACAGTGTTAAATGAGAAAAAATTTTGCTAAGTGATTTTCTACTAATTTATATATATATATATATATATATATATATATATATATATATATATATATATATAATATATATATATATATATATATATATATATATATATATATATATATTTATATATATATATATATACATATATATATATATATATATATATTTATATATATATATATATACATATATATATATATATTTTATATATATATATATATATATACACACATATATATATATATATATATGTATATATATATATATGTGTGCATATATATACATATATATATATATATATATATACATATATATATATATACATATACATATATATATATATATATACGTATATATATATATATATATATATATATATATATATATATATATATATATATATATATATATATATATATATACATATATATATATATATATATATATATATATATATATATATATATGCGTACACACAATAGATATAATGGATAAATTACATGTATAATTAAACATGGATTTTATTAAGACACTTTACAAAAAACTTTCATTAAGACACTTTACAACGAACTTTTATTAAGATACTTTACAATGAACGTTTAGAACGAACTAGTAAAAAGAAAATCAATAGTATAATCTTTCTTTTTTAATATTTAAGGCACGCACAAGAATTGTTGGTACTATTTTTCGTAAGTAATATGTTTATATATATATACTTTTTATATGTATTGCTGCATTTCATTACATTGGCGTTTTAACTTTTTTTTTCCTTCTCTTTAAACCCTCATGGTATAAATCAAAACCTTTGATTTAAAATAGGTAAATGTTTTAAATTTAAGAATTGCATTATAGAACACAAATTGTAGAAAAATGTAAAAAGTTTATTGGAGACATAAAAGCACAAAATTATTTAAAACACACATGCTTTATATTATATTCACGAAGCTACCTGGGATTTCTTCGCCAAAAAATTATCTTCAGTAAACACTTTAAATACAAGAGTTTTATGAGCTAGAAACATTTTCCATTATTTAGCAATTCTTAATTAACAATTCCATTATATCATGTGCTTATTGGGTCAAATACTTTACAGAATAGTTACTTTTTTATGACAAGACATTTGATTTTTATCTAATTATATACATTAAAAGTTAAAAGTAATAATAATTTAAGGTTTTTAGTCTTTAATATACACTTATCTTATTACAGTTTTAACGTTGTACACGCATGTTAATTGACATGCAAAAATCTAGCGTATGTAAACTAAATAAATCGACAAAAGCTATAGGCAACTTTTCAATATAATTGTTAGAAATGAATTTCAAAGTTACGGTTTTTTTTTTAATAAAATAACTTTACAGGTTTTTTAAATTATGTCTTTTAAAGTCGTGAGATTACTTTTAATCTTGATAAAAAAATATCATAAAGCTGATTACGAAGAAATAGTGTATAGATTAACTATTTAATAAAAAGTTGAAGTTTAATTTATTTATCAGCTTTATTACTAGTTTTTTATATATATTAGAATGATGGAAATTATAAGCTTATTATAAACATTCCTGAAGTATAAGTATATATACAGAGTTAATTAACATAATTTATATTATAAATGAAAAAACATTTTTTTAATTGGTATTAATTCAACCTAACCAAAATTTACATTTCAAAATATTAAAAACTTGGTTATAATTATAAGTATTTTGTATATTAATTATATAGGGCAACGGCAGCTTGTGTTAATTGCACAATGAGTAGACTTTTTCCTTTTATTTGTTACTTTCTCGCAGCACTTCAAGTCAAATATTAAGAATAAATTTAGGATGGCGACTTGCGTGCGCAATTCTTTAACTGTAATCAGAGAATCGTGAATTGATATGAGTCGCTTAATAATTTTTTATTAAAATTGATAATTTTTTATAAAACAAACATTGATTAATAAAGAAAACAATTTAAAAGTATTCATACAGCTATAATAATATTTATAAATCATTATTAAAACTAAAATGTAACAGTAAAACCAGTATCACATTGTTTAAAACAAACTTCACGTTGAAAATCAGTAACAAGATATTCAGGTTGAAGGTTTTGCTTCAAAATTGTAATCATTATCATGAGTTTTCCATGATTTTAAAAAAGAAATAAAAAAAAGATGAAAAAAATTAAAAAAGAGAAAAAGTTTCATTAAAAATTCCAAGATATCGGTATAAGATATCGCTCAAGAGTTTTTGAGGATATTCCTTATTTTTTTCTTGAGAAAATTTGCTTTGAGGTCGTTAATAAATTATGTCATGCAATTTTCAATTATTTTTGACCCTTTTCCCTCGTCACAACATCGTAACTCTTTAGTAACAAGTCTCGTACGAGCACCGTACCTTACAAAACAATTAACCCGTTCCCCCCTACTCCCTAAAGTGTGACGTAATTTACGGACGACACCTTTTTATACATATAAATTTTTAACCCTCTACTGACAAAAATCATTATTTAAAAAAAAAATAGATTTAAATGATAATTAATTATAACAAGAGAAGGGCCGATTACAATTTCACCGATTCCTAAGGAATCTAAAAACGCGATTTTCTTCTTTTTCAATAAATTTTAACAATTCCGATTTTTTTTAAAATTTTATATTTGCGCTTTAACAACTTCACTTCTATTATAAATACCTTTTAAGCATACTTTAAAGCTTATATTTATCAGAAGAATTTTCCATTTAGTTGAACGAAAATTTCTTTACTAATTTTCACCTATAATCTAATTGATGCATTCAATAAATTTTATGCATTCAATAAATTCATAAATATCTTTTACGAAAGTTTCAGGAGATTTTTGGACTGCCTAAGCACAGATTAGCCATCAAGACGGAATAGCACTTTTCACATGCCGAATTGTTTAATTAAAAAGAAAGATTTGATTCTAATAACGCCACACATCCTTTTTTATATAAATTTAATTTTGCATTTATATTTTTTGCTGTTTAAATACCGGATCAATACAAAAATGTATAAATAAGTATTTGTATGGCCGGGGCAAAAGAAAGACAATAGTAGTCTTATCACTTATCCCATAGTTTACTACGTATTTTTACTTTACAAACAGTTATTTTATATTTAGGTATAATTTTTCTATAATACCGTCAAAAGTTACTTGATTCATGTTTTAAATTAACAAAAGCAAAAAAGAAAAAAGTATGACACAATTTAATAAAACACAACAAAAACATCAAGATGCACAAAGAAAAATTAAGTACATGAGGAGATTTAAAATAAATTATAAAAAGAAATATTTTAATGTAATCAATAACTATTAGTAGTATTAACAGCTATTTTTACACTGTTTAAAGTTAATAATAACAAGAAACCAAACCAGACAGCTTGTTCGCATAAAGAAAAAACAAAAACAAAACAAAAAAACAATATTATATATATATGTATATATATATATATATATATATATATATATATATATATATATATATATATATATATATATATATATATATATATATATATATATATATATATATATATATATATATATATATATATATATATATATATATATATATATATATATATATATACATTGTCTAGGAGTCTTTGAAAAAGAGTTTATTTGGTTTTATTTATATTTAAAGATACTTTATTCAACTTGAACCATTCAGGTAAATTTGTGAGTTTCTTATTGACTGTTTTTAATAAGATGTCAATGTTGCTATAAAACAAGCTTTAATATATTAAAATATATTATTACTAAAACTTTACATTTCAAAGGTTAGTAAAGATAGAATAAAGCACTGATTGAATCTTTGCATTGACATTATGCTGTCTGTGCGGCAGAACCTGCAAATGCATTTGCAAAAATATTAGATTCCAGATAAAAGCAACATTTTTAGGAGACAAGGACTGATTAAGCTATTATTTTATTTATAAGAGAGTTGAATACCTTGGAGTTAGACAAAGAACTTGAAATTACAGCTGCTGAAAATCATGAATGCAACACACCTGCTCCAGTTGCTGTCTGGTCATTATATAACTGATCAATATAACCATTTATAACTGATCAGTAATATATAACGATTATATAACTAATTAACACAAATTCTGTAGTATGTATTGTAAGTAGGTATTGTAAGTAATTATTGTAAAAGGCTATTGTAATTAGGTATTGTAAATAGGTATTGTAAGTAGGTATTGTAAGTATGAGGGCATATAGGTATTGTAAGTTATGAGGGCAAATTTATTTTTTTATTGTACTTTAAATATTGTGGGTATATGAACTAAACATCTTTTTTAAATTTAAATATTCACTCCGCATTATTCAATGGGACACAAAGTAGTAGGTACTTTAAAGAACCATTACACTCAAGTCACAAAAACGTGTTTGAATACTGGAGGAAATCTATGTTTTAGGAACGCCTCAATCTACAGTAATTTTAGAGTTGTTATTAAGTACTGTAGAGCTTATCTGCAACCGGAAAAGAAGCCATTTAAGTCCAGAGCAAATGCAAACGCTAGTGTTTTAAACAAAAACCTTTCATTTCTTAACTATTGATACTAAAGATAGACGCACATTTACATACTGAAAATATGACATTCTGTGTATCTGATCTCTTATAACATTCTGTGATTATTAATTATGACTATATAGACCATTATATTATTTAAAAACTTTGGCATAAAAAATATCACTATTACATTATTTATTAAGTTCTTAACCAATAGAACCGTTGACGATTTTTTCTGTTAAAAAAAAGTCTGCATAAGTGCTAAATTACCACGTTTTTAATTACCACGTATTTAATTATCATTTTAATTGCATCAATACTATTAAAAGTGCATTATTACTTATAAAATTATTGTCGGTACATTAACGTAATTAAATTAATTTGAATCGGAATCAGCAATTATTGAAATTGGACTATCTCTAATAATGACCATAAACTTTAGATTGTCTGAATAAATTTTTATAAAACAAAAAGATTAATATGAAAATCTTTACAATGTTTTTAATAAGTATGTAATAATTTATAAGTAATTTTTTTAGCTACAACTTTACCTAATAAATGTGATGCTGAAGTTTGTCAATCTGTCTCACACTGTCATTCCGTGGTTACACTACCAGGTTCATGTTGTCCTGTGTGTAGTAAGTACTTACATGAATTTTTTTTATTAAAAAATAAATTCGTTATTATAAAAAATTGTGGGAAGTTCTTAAATTATTTTGAATTTCTAAATTTATCTTAAATTTAAATTATTCTGATTCTAAAAAAAAATTATAAAATTATTAATGATTTCAGGTTGCTTTGACTCATCGCACCATGAAAGCCACCATGGAGATCGATTTATCATCGATAAACCTCATTCGTGCAGGCAATGTGAATGTCAAACGTTTCTTGGTGTGAAATTCAGTACTTGTCATCGAGTCGTGTGCAAGGAGCTTAGTTGTAGAGAGACATATAAACCACCAGGAGAATGTTGTCGAGTCTGTAGTAAGTAATTTTATAAAGAAAAAAATAAACTTTTGCGATTACCATGAAAATAAAGTTCCTCTATAGTGGTTCTGTACTCTTATATAATTTATAGCAATATAAAAAGGTTTGATAAAATAGTCTTATTTACTCTTTCAAATAACAAAAATCAAATAAAAATCATTCAGTTGTAAGTTATTTTAATTAAATATGTTAGTTATGTTAAAAAGTCAACTAGTTTATTTATTTACTTTTCATTTTACTGTATTTTTTTAAATTTATTTTAGAAATTGTTCGTCATTTTCCAGTATTTCCAGAAATACCTGACAAATGGAAGCATTTAGGATTAAATGTAACGAATAAAGTATCTTTTTAAATATTGTGAATAAAAGAAATTGTAAAAACGTAAATGATAGTTTTTATCTATAAAGTTTGTTTCATTCATAACTTTTCTTAAATATTTCTTTGTTGTTTCTATCGCTTTAATTTTTATTTACTGACGAGTTAAGAAAATATTTTATTGTCTAAAATGTCTATTATTTTGTCTGAAATGTTTATATTGCATTGCTTCTGAGGTGTTTGCGTCATATGAAACAATATTTTACAACATTTTGCACCTTTTTTATAATTTTTAACAGTGCATAAGTAGCTGTCTGGACCCGTAATGAACGATCTTGGTAAATCTATTCCACACCGATCATTTTTATACTTCTTTTTTAGTTCAATATTTTATAGAAAGTGATAGAAAAATAATTAAATGCATTTATAGAAAAAATTTACATATTTTCTACCTTTTAAAGTTATGAAGAAAAAAAAATTGATAATATAATCAACTTTAAAAAATTTAAGCACTTAATTTCAACGCTATGGTAGCCGCTATTAATTAGTAGTTCGGATATTAGTACCAGTCTAAATAATATTTATAATCCCCGCTAATAAAAGATTTTACATTCAAACTTTTATTTATGAATGTAAAAAAATTGATATGTATTGTTTTCTATTGTTTTTTCTATTTTCATTCTTCGTATGATATGTATTATTTTTTTACAGTTTGAATGTAAAAAAATTTTTCCTGTAAGAAAGAAATTTTTCTTTGTTAAATGTTTGTTAAAGGAGCAGACTTAACTAATAACTTAAGTAATAACCTCATATTAATAACATAAGTACCTCTACCATGTTTTGATGTCTTTAAAAATTTTAAGCTTTTTTAAAAGTTCTCTCCTTTTCGTTTATTATTGTGCATAATATTTTTTTACATGTTATGTAAATAATATCTTTAGAACTTTAAAAATGTTTTATTTTGTATTTATTTTATTTAGAAAATTTAAAAAGAATAAAATTAAATAAATATGCAGGCGAAAGGCGATACACTTCGGACACTCAGACATGATATTTTAATAGTTTTAACATTATTTATTCAGAAAAAAATTATAACTTTATAAATTTTATATTTATAACTTTAAATTATAAAACGGCAAATAAATGCTATAATTTAAAGTTAAGAAGATATTGCTTGATACAGTTTTACTTTTACTTGATGATGCAATATTCAACTAAAAACTGTAGAACTTGATATAATTTTTAACATAATTTGAAATTTACATAAGTTAGCATAATTTACATAAACTACATAAGTTTTGCATACATTTTGTTCACATTTTCTTAAGAAAAAAATGTGTTGCGACTCTTTCATGTTATTAACTCAGGTTTAATTTCTGCTATGAATTCCGTGTCAAATGAACGAGTAACGGCAGCAGCAGTAGCGGCGGCGGTAGTATTAAGTTCAATTTTAAAGTATTATAGGATATAAATAAATCTTGTAGTTTGCTCCGTATAATTATTTTTTATTTAATGGTATAAATTTGTCGTCGAGTTAAATTTGGCACTTAAAAAAGTCGACTTTGCTGATCCTTAATTTGAATAGATATTTTAGAGGTAATTACAAAAAAGATTTAAAAAGCCTTTTAATCTTTCATAATGAAACTTAGTAAAAATTATTTTACTTACGACCTCAAAAAGACGTTTCATTGCACTTTTTAGACTGGAAAAGGTAGTTATAAACTTTCTTTAAATGTGTTAATTTTAATGAAAACAATTTAAAAAAATATATCTTTTAAATCTGCGGTATAAAATCAACAACATAAAAAAGATCATCTTGCTTAAAAGTCAGGTTTATTACCAGACTAAAGGCAACCTTATACTGAAATTCAAAATATACCTGACAAATGGAAACATTAAAATGTTATTCAGAAGTACCTATTTGTAATTAAGAAATAGCTATGAGCCTCCGTTTATACCCATTAAGCTCTGTAACCTCAAAGGCACATTTTTTTGTAAATAAAAAGTGTCTTGAAGAGTATGAATTTAGGTAGTATTTTGTAAGTTGCTTTTATTAATAAAATTGTTTTACTCAATTTACCCACCCTGAGGTAGGTTAATGCAAACTACCACCCTGAGGTAGGTTAATGCAAACTATAAAAATTTATTGACTATTGGAGTATCATTAAATGCAAAATTGATAAAAAAGTTTACTACTTTCTTTGGCACCAATTTTAGGCCTAAAATAATATTACTTTGAGCTGGTAGCAATAGTAAGCATAATAAATGAGCTTTTTTTTTTTTTTTTTTTTAAATTTATTTTGTCAGTAAAAAAAAGAATGCAATGCCGTGTAGTATATATAAGATCTACATGACTGGGGTTAAAAGAAGACAATACTTGCCTTATCACTACACCCCGACGTGCTTTCATAAGCAAGCGTGTACAACCATTAAAAGTATACAATTACAAATAAAAATATACAATTACTTTGTGCCATTTAAAAAATTATATACAATTATTTACAAGTATGTTAAGACTAGTTACTAATCTATAATCAAAACAAAATAGTAAAAAGAAATTAAAAAAAAAAAAGAAATCAAAACTATAGATAAGCTAATAGAATAGTTTAGAGAGTTAATAAGATAATTGTTAAAAATAAAAAAAAAATGAAAATAAAAAATTTTTAAAAAGAATTTAGTTCATTAACATCGTTAATAAGTTTTTGTTTAAATTTTTTTTTGAATAGGTAAAGAGAAGAACAATTTTTCAGCTCGTCACTTAATAAAGCGTTCCATAATTTAGGACCTCTTATAGCAATAAAAAATTTGGCAGCCAAATAATGCATTTTAGGTTGGTCATAATTGTACTTAGAAAATCTTGTAGGGTACATGTGATTAATTTTATTGAAAAGTGTACTAAATATTATAGGTGATATTTTATTATGAAGTTTGTACTTAAAAATAAGAATTTGATAAAGGTTTAACTGAAAAACATTGAGTATGTGAAGATTATTCAATAGTTCTTTAGTATGTGTGAATTGACCTGCATTTGAAATAATTCTAACAGCATGTTTTTGTTTACTAAGCAGTTTTTTAATTTTACTTATATTAGAGCTGCACCAGGCAATGTTTGCATTGCAACAATGTTGCAACAATGTATGAGGGAGAAATATAAAATTTTTAGGCAGTTTTGGTTTAAAAACTGCTTGGCTTTGAATAGTATACCAATATTTTTTGAAAACTTTATTTTCTATTGTACTTATGTGTTCTCTCCATGTTAAGTTTTCATCAAGTATCACTCCTAAAAATTTTATTGATGACTTTCTAATTATTTTAGAATTGCCAATATAAAGATTAGAAAGTTTTAGTGGAATGTTTTCTTTATCGTGAACTCTATAAAAAAAAAGTATACTTAGTTTTATTTAAATTTAAGGACAATTTGTTCGCCTTGAACCATTCCGCTAGATTTAAAAGTTCTTTGTTTACTATTTTAAATAAAACTTTAATATCTCCATTAGAGTAAAATAAATTCGTGTCATCTGCAAATAAAACAGAGTTTAAAATGTTTGAAAACTTATGAAAATCGTTTACATAAATAAGAAATAAAAAAGGACCCAGAATTGAACCTTGGGGAACACCGCAATTTATTGTCATATACGAAGATTTTCCTTCTTCGTATGATATGTATTGTTTTCTATTGTTTAGATAACTTATGAACCAATCTAAATATGTGCTTTTAATACCATAACTTTCGAGTTTTTTTATAAGAATATTATAGTCTACTGTATCAAAAGCTTTGCTAAGATCTATAAAAACTCCAAGAGTAAACTTTTTCTTGTCAAATGCTTTAAATATATCATGAACAATATTAATAATGGCATGGTCAGTTGAATTACCTGGCTGAAATCCAAATTGTTTATTATATAAAATATTATTTGTATTTAAAAAATTCAAAATCCGATTATACATAATTCGCTCTAAGATTTTTGAGAAGCAAGGGAGAATTGAAATTGGTCTGTAATTTTCAGAATTAGAAATATCTCCTGATTTAAAAATAGGTATAACCCTTGCAATTTTAAGTTTCTCAGGATAGACACCTTGTTTTAAAGAGAGATTAAAAATATGTAAGAGAGGAATTGTCAAGTATTTTATTGATTTTTTTATTACATTACTACTAATATTATCAACTCCTACACTTTTGTTTTGTTTTAAAAGATTTACTGCATTTATAAGTTCATTTTCAGTAATTTCATAAATATCCATTTTAGAGGTCTTATTAGGAGTAAGATATGTCTCAAAGTTTACTTCAGTGATTTCTATTTTTGACGCTAGAGTGGAACCTACACTTACAAAATATTGATTAAGTGTTTTGGCAATTAATGATTTATTTGTAATAACTTTATTATCAATTGTTAGATTTATTGTAGTTAAAATAATGCCTAAATAAGCCTAATTGTTAGATTTATTGTAGTTAAAATAATGCCTAAAAAAGCCTAAATAATGTTTTATAATAAATAAGCTAAAAAATTACTTTATTTTAAAAAAGCCAAAATATTACTTCGTAATAAATAAGCCAAAGTTACCCATTAGGGTAAGGTGGGGCAATATGGATATATTAGACTATAATAAAGTCTTTATTTATAAATTATTATCTATAAATAGAGTCTTTATTTATCAATTGTATTCAAGAAACTTACTTAAACTAAAATTAAATCATTATACAAATATTCTAGATCTAACTTTAAAAGCAAACCCATTTCGAATATCAAGTTTAGTTCACACTGAGCCTTTAGGTGGAACCCAAAGAGGTCATCAAGTTTTGAGTTTTAACTTCAATATCAAGCCAAATGATCAAATGGATATAAAAAATTCAATTAAAACCACAAAGCTACTATTTAGAAGAAGAAATTATAAAAAGTTCACAGAGTTTTTAAACATCCATAATTGGAGCGAAGAATTTAAACATTTAGATGTCAATCAGAGTTATTTAAAGTTTATTAGTATTTATGAAAAGGGTTACAATTAATGTATGCCTAAATTAAAATCGAACAAAATAAATTTCAGAAACAATAAAAGATCTTTATGGATGAAT